ACTAGGCAGTACTCGGGGGCCATCCTAGCAGCAGCAGCAGCAGCAGCAGCAGCAGCAGCAGCTTCTGTTGCTTCGGCATGCAGATCACCCTGCAGCAGCAGCAGCAGCAGCTGCAGCTAGATGCATCGGGGGCCTCTGCTGCGGCTGTCTAGGCTTGAGACTTCTGCGGGTCTTCTGTTTGAAACAAAGAATTAAATCTCATTATTAAATTCAAAATAAAAATAAAAATAAAAATAAAACCAAAAATAAACTTCGATCCATTCCAAAATGCGCAGCTCTCCCCGTGTACAGACACCTCAGTGCAGCCACCAAGGCCTCGCAGCCGACAGGCACAGGCGGCCCCTGGGGGCCCCCGGGGGCCCCCTGGGGCCCCCTAGGGGCCCCAAAAGTAGATAAAAAGGGAATAGATCAAATAATTACTTCTGGAATTGCTCTAGATTGGCAAAATATTTAAAAAACTGCCGAAAAAAACGAAGAAAAGCAAAAACACACAAGTCCACGGGGACCCCAGGGGCCCCCGGGGGGCCCCTGGGGGCCCCCGGGGGCCCAGCTAAGCAGCAAACGGAGCCTTCTTAAGAGTTTTAGCTCCTGGAGGGCCCCGGGGGGCCCCTCGAGCTTCTCAGGCCTTGCTGGTGGCCCCCAAAAGGGCCCCCAGGGGCCCCAGGAGGGCCCCTGGGGGTCTCCCCAACAAAAGGACCTTTAGGGGCCCACAGGGCCCCCAACTAATAGGGGGGGCCCCAGTCTAGGGGGGCCTCCAGCCAATGGGGGGTCCCCAAGGGGCCCCCAGGGCCTTGGGGCTGTTTAGGGGCCCCCAGGAGGAACGAAGCAGCAGCTGTAGACCACCCCTAAACCCTAAACCCTAAACCCTAAACCCTAAACCCTAGTCGTGGGGCTTAGGGGGCTACGGCCCGCAGCAGCAGCCCAAAAGCCCTCAGCAGCAAATCGTCTTCCGCGGACCACAAACACTCAAAAGATACCCCAGGAGACCCGCAGAGGAAGGCCGACCGTTTGCTTCTCTGCAGCAGCAGCAGCAGCAGCAGCGGCAGCAGCAGCAGCAGGTTTGAAGCAGCACGAGCACAGCTACCGCAGCGCAGCACGAGTCGCTGCCGCAGCAGCAGCGCCAACGCCCACAGCCAGCAGCAGTAGCAGCAGCAGTAGCAGTAGCAGCAGCAGTAGCAGCAGCAGTAGTAGCAGTAGTAGTAGTAGTAGTAGCAGCAGCAGTAGTAGTAGCAGTAGTAGGAGTAGCAGTAGTAGTAGTAGTAGCAGCAGCAGCAGCAGCAGCAGCAGCAGCAGCAGCAGCAGCAGCAGCAGCAGCAGCAGCAAGCTCACCCTCCTCCACTCCCTGACAGCCCGCCCAAGAGCAGCAGCAACACTGGGGTGTCTCTGCGACAGCAGCAAAACTGTCCTTACAGCCCTCAGCCACAACCCCACACTTTCATCAGCCCCAGGGGGGCCCCCCAGGGGGGCCCCCAGGGGGCCCCCCTGGGGGCCCCCA